TATACTTCTAATAGATAAACCATATTTAGTAAAAAGATAAAAAGATAATAAGCTATTAATAACTTTAAGTAAGTAAAATTTATAGTTTTTATTAATAGAGAGTTAATAAGATAGGTAAGATTAAGTCTTACTAGTAATATATAATAAAATCCTACTTTAAGGTATATATAATAAAAGTAAATATTTTATATTTATAAAAGGAGTTTTTTATATACTTAATAAGCCTTAGATTTTAATTTGCCTTTTTTATAAATATATTATTTAACCTAGCAGAGGTATTAAAACTTACCTTTAAAATATATATAAGTACCTAGGAAATAAGCTTAAGGGGATACTATCTTTTTATAATAAGTAAGGATTCTAAGATCTAATTAAGGTAGTAGTTTTAAAGAATAGTAATAAGGCTATATTATAACTCCTAAAGCTTAGTAAATTTAACTATAATTACTATAAGTTCTTATTTATTAATAAGTTAAATATATAATATTACTATAATTAATATAAATATTAGGATATAAAAGTTAATATTAAAGGCTAGAAATATATTTATTTTAAAGATTTATAATAGGTAATAATATATAATATTAAACTATAAGATAGTAGATAATTAAATTATAATAGCTATATTAAACTTTTTTATATTTAATTATTTTTATATTCTTATAATACAGATTAAAACCAGCTCAACGCTCGGCTTTGTCTGGTCTGTGAGGCAGCTATTAAGCCCGAACCGGCTTAGGTAGAGCGTCGCTATCGCAATTGCCATAAGACTGTCGGACAGCCGCTGCAAGAATTGATCACGTTTGCCGAATCGATCTCGCCATCAGGATGGCGCCCCCAAGCACTACAAGATCCGAGAGATGAGAACATGGAGCTGCCACCAGATGGAAGCCCTCTAGTAACTAATGACAAATCAATTCTAGTAGAGTTGATTTTATTGACCTACCTTAAACCTAGTAGGGTTGATATCATTGCCAGGATGTAGAGTTGATTTGACTTTATCCTGTATACAGGAAGGAGAGTGTTAGGGGTTTGCCAGGGGGTTGCCACAGAACGCGACGCGTCCTGTCGCGTAAAGTGCTATGGGGGTAGCATACTCTAATTGGTTTCATTATTGATCGAAGATCAATCGTTCAGATCTTGTTATCGGTAACAAAGTCAGTATGACGATCACTATGACGGCTTTAAATTTGCAATCTGAACCATGCAGTGCAACTTATCCCTACGTTCTTCTCTCTATATACCGCCTTCTCGTGTACCAGGTTTGTAGGTTTGCCTCTTTAGCTAATAAAGTTGCTATGCATTTGAAAACACGATATTGCAATATATAGCCAGAGCATTAAAAGGAACTGGTAGAGAAGGTAAACTAGATCCTAAATATTATCTATAATTAGGATAAACTGCATGATTTAAGGTACCTAACGGATACGATTGAACCTATTCTGTATTTTGCGTTATTAAAATCAGACGGTTTGAAATGTCGTGCTTGCGGCTATATTGTCCGTCACGTCCGAAAAATACAAAACACTACGCTGCAAAGCACCAATGGATAAACCCAAGAGGTAGGTAAAAACCATCACCGAATCGCCACGTATTTACTTACAAGCCACAGTAGCAGGAACATATCATGTATTAACGATTCTTCTTAAGTCTTATATAATAAAATTAATTCTAGTACTCTATATAATTGATTTGTTTTCTGTTTTACTATATAGGGTAGACTTAATATTTTACTAGGGGTAGAGTTAAATTTGCCCAAGTCACTAGCTGCGGGGTAGGGCGCTGGTTTATGATTAGACCTTGGTTACATAATGAGATTGATTTGGTCCTAACGTGTATGATAAGCGAGTGAGCCAGACAAGCAAGTGAGCCAAAAATCCCTCACCTTACAACATTATAATTCAATCAGCTATATCTCAACCAACAAATATGCCACAGTCCTCAAATGAAGCTAGAATCCTTCTTGCCCTTCAGGCCCTTCAAGATAACCCTAAACTTACAGTCCGACGGGCGGCAAATATCTACAATGTCAACCGTAGTACCTTAGGTCGCCGCCAGCATGGCATTCTTTCAACGCGTGATACTCCCACAAAGTCACGGAAACTATCTGATCAGGAAGAGCAGATAGTAGTCCAATTCATTTTAGACCTAGATTTGCGAGGTTTTCCCTCGCGACTATCATATGTGGAAGATATAGCTAATTCTATACTTGCCAACCGCAACGCGCCATACGTCGGCAAGCGCTGGGCTTATAACTTCGTCAAGCGACAACCAGAGCTAAAGACACGTCTATCTCGGAGGTATGACTATCAGAGAGCTAAATGCGAAGATCCGACTATTATTCGTGGCTGGTTTCGGCTTGTAGAGAATACAATCGCGAAATACGGTATCCGATCAGATGATATCTGGAACTTTGATGAGACCGGCTTTATGATGGGCGTAATTGAGCCCGGAACAGTCGTCACAAGCTCTTACAGGCAAGGAAGACCAAAGCAAGTACAGCCTGGAAACCGCGAATGGATTACTGTGATCGAGGGGATCAATGCGGACGGTCAATCGATCCCGCCGTTTATCATTGGTGCAGGCAAGGATCACCTTGCCAATTGGTACCAAGAATGCGACCTCCCCGGCGATTGGGTTATTGCATTGAGCGAAAATGGATGGACTAATAATAAGCTGGGTCTCGAGTGGCTAAAGCACTTTGATCGGGCTACAGCTAAGCGAACGAACAGTCGCTATCGCCTCTTGATCCTTGATGGTCACGAAAGTCACCACTCCGTCGAATTCGAGAAATATTGCAAAGAGAACAAGATTATCACGCTCTGTATGCCTGCTCATGCCTCTCATCTACTTCAGCCTCTTGACGTAGGGTGCTTTGGGCCGCTGAAAAAGGCATATGGTCGAGAAATAGAGCATCTGATCAGATGCAATATAACCTATATTAAGAAGACTGAGTTCTTTCCTGCCTTTTACGCCGCCCACCAAGCTGCTATTACAGAAAGCAATATCAAGGGAGGTTTCAGAGGAGCTGGGCTTGCTCCCTTTAACCCAGAAAATGTCATCTCGAAGCTTGATGTGCAGCTACGGACTCCGACGCCTCCCGTAGAGGTCATAATACCATCGACCCCTTGGACTGCAAGGACCCCAAAGACAGTGCTAGAGGCCCAATCGCATTCTAAGTATCTGCAAGGAAGGATCAGAAATCATAAGAGCAGCTCCCCTGAGTCAATAATTGAAGCCGTAAAGCATTTTGAGAAGGCAACAACTGTTCTTATGCATAAGATGGTCTTACTAGATGATAGGGTTCGACAACTTGAACAAGAGAATAAGACAGTAGGGCGACGCCGGAGGGGAAAAAGGACTAAGGTACAGAAAGAAGGGCCTTTAACTATAGGGGAAGCATTACAAGCAATTGATCAGATAGATATTGATGCGCAGCTAACAGCTGAATCCTCGAGAGGTGGTCGCGGAAGGTCACAAGGAGCAAAGGTTCGGCAGTGTAGTATTTGCGGAAAGACCGGGCATAATGCAAGGACCTGTCAGGAGGCAATTGAGGTCAATAGGGAATAGTATAACAATTAATTTTAATTGATCAGATAGATTGTGGTGTTTTTATTGCGAATTTAATTTGGAAGGTTAAGATATGTGGCTCACTCGCTTGTCTGGCTCACTCGCTTATCAAGCACGTTATACAAAAGACAAGAACCTCGTTCCCGCCCCGGAAAAACTCACGACCCAATCATCCATCAAAAATAAACTCATTATCCCCAGCCCCGCGCGCCTCAATATAGAAACCTTCAAAGACATCATCGACACAGAGGGCCCCGACTGCCAACAAGCTGCATTCAAATACAAACGGGGCGACCCTGGTCAGGGACACTGCTTCTCAGAATAAAAAGAAGACGGGTTCAAATGGCCCGACTTCAGCAAGGCCATCACCAAACCCCCGAGTATCGAAGAGGCCAAGAAATGACTGGATCAAGTCATCGATAACCCGCCCGAAGGCCTCATCTCGTGCTATACCAGCCACGGCCCTGGCCATGCAAGTAGACTTTGGCACCAGCCACAGCTGAGCACCGGACAGCGCGTCCTGGATGAGCCTTCATTCGAGGAAATTCGGAAACCATACTGCCATAGGGGACGACATGTCGTGCATAAGTTGTAATGCTGACACAAGGCATCTTTAAAATCAGGCTGTGAGGAGTTGCTACTCAACACCAGAGAATAACCAAATGAATGAAGAGTTTTTCTCATTAGATATCTTCTTTCCTTTTCTATACTATTCTTTCTATTTTCTATATGCCATTATGCAGTTAAACTTATGCCATTATTACAACCTTAACTAGGATATAAAGTTAAACTCTATTAAAATTACTAGACTCTAGTATCTTAGTATTGATCTTACTTTCTCTAAGATATGCGTTGATATTTATACAAGGCTGTGCACCATGGCCAGAGACCCATCAGTGCCATTGCACGGTTGAAATAGACAATGTTGGCTTTGGCTATGGAAACAAGACAAGGCTTTATAAGCAAGAAACTGAGGCCATTTTCCATATTCAGTTGGACAAGTATGCTGGAAGATGGAAGTATCGTAGCTAAACAATTCGCACATCTCTGCAGCCTCCTTTGTTTATTATAAATAACATTTGAAACCCATGGCACCGCAAAAGCAGAAGTTCCGAGGGCCTCCGGGCCGATCATGACCAAAGGTAATCTCTTACTTTGCTATGTAGATTTGGCATGCACTTTTCATGTATGCAATAATAAGGACTGCAAGAGAAAGCCTGAAGAATCTGTCTTCCAGGTTAATCAATTACCCGAGGCATTTGGCCTGCGCATATGGATAAGCCCAGGTGACTGTTGCAGGTCAAGCTTGAATGTGAAAAGAAATGAATTATTAGAGTACAAAATAGATCACAATGCTATTATCCAATTCTATCTCCGGAAGCTCAGAGTTCATTAATACATGAACCACGATAACATCTGGCACTGATACCTCAACTGCATCCCCGGCCGCATTGCGCGCAGCCGACACAAGTCTCCTCATCTGCCGGCGAACAATGAGGTGCGTTTTTGCGGGTAAACATCTCGCCTCGCGGTCCCTTGTAGCATGGCAAGCGACGCTGGCAGTTGAACTCATTCACTTTGTTCATAGCCACCGATCTAATGATGTCCTTGGAGACCCATGAGAATTTATGATCTGGATAATCAGACCGGTGAACCAAGTACTCAGATTGGTCATTTCGGTACACCATGCGAGAGCCAATCACTTGTCGAATAACTGAAGCTTGTTCCCGGGGCTCATGGAAGAGGCTCTCATATGGGTTGCCACTGTTTGCTGAGGGAGTGCCAGTCTTAGCCCACTGGAAGGTAGACATGGTGTTTAAGCTTGTGCGGGAAGAAGGAGCTCGTGGAAACTTGTCTTCATCAGGGGCAGTATGGCTTAGCCACCAGCCAGGGGTCTGGGGCAACCCGTTGATGATGGAGGATCGACGACGTTCCGGCATGTGTTTGTCGCGCTGATGGTCGGGTGAAGATATTTGGGATTGGAAGAATGACTGATAATCAGCGAGAGGAGAGCGGAGGTCCATCATGTATGGAAGTCCTGAGACACAAGTTTCTTCGGCAGCTTTGATGGTCTGAAGACCGTCAAAGCTGTTAACACTCTGGGGGAGGGGGAATCCTTCTTCAAAAGGAGAAGCCAGGGACTCAAAAGACTCTAAACCCAGATTGTTAGTAATTCCATGAAACAGCATTGAAGGGGGTACTTACCCGATCCACCAGGACGAAAGTCGCGTGGAGACAGGTTGATGAAGACGTGATCATTGAACTGAGCAGACATGTTGAGTGTGATGAGTTATTGAGATGGGGTGGAAAACGATCAGAGTTGGAAACACCGGCGCGATGTTTGTATAGCCCATTTGAGAATAAAGCTCTTTGATGAAGTTGCTGCATGCAGTTGCAGCTCTGCGCTGTGAGAATCTGCATTTGTCTCACTGCAGTATAAAGACCGAAAATGCGGTGAACTCAGGCTCCTTTAAGCCTTTCAATGCATGTTTGCTGAGCTATCAAAGGGAAGGGAGATATGAGGTTGACGATGGGGGTAATTCAACGGTTTCGAACCTGCATTTCTGACACACGATGCTTGTTGTACAAGCCTTTGTTCCAAGCCAGGAATGATGGACGATAAGTCAAACGTGTCAGTATGCAAGTTTGCTTGCACTCAAAGAATATGCACCCAAAGCAATGTTTCTAGGGCGGCCTCCCCTCATGATGGTAAAGACCGAAGCGGGCGGTGTCGTGGTGCCATCAGCGTCATTTTCCAGCTCTGCAGACATGTCATCTTACCAGCAATTAATAATACCAGCTGACGCTTGATCAACGCAGTTAAATGCTGAAAATTGCTAATAAGTAGACAGTATTACTTCTCTGTATATTATTCCTACATTCTGCTGGAATTCGGGCAACGTTAAACTCTTGGCGCCATAGGATAGACTGCATAAAGGTAGTTAAAACCAAGCTTTCGCAGTTTATACAAGCCCGCAGTTAAAAGGCGCGAGTGGAACACTGGAGCATGATAGATAAACTTCAACTCCCCATGTATCAGGGTGACGCGGTGAAGAAATGTCCCTTTTCTATTTTAATCACGAGATACAAGATTAAAGCCCATGCTTTCGGATTAATTATATGCATGACGTTATATTGCGGCACAACACCTTTTCACAGCACATACGACCACAGCTCGAAGAAAATACGGGATCCCGTCTGCTCTCCCATAGTCAAGCTACGAAGCGCTGGATTAGTAGTTGGGTCGGTGACGACCAGCGAATTCCCGGTGTTGTATGTTTTTTTTAATCTTTTATCAGACTAAACTAGATTGACCCAGTATGAACTACTTACAGTGGGCGTGCAAAAGTTCCGACACATTCCGGATCCACCCCAACTACCTCGATCTCATACTGCCATTTCGGATTGCAATTGCATGGGCAATAATTCTTCAATTTAGATAATATATATATCAATCTGTAGAGACTTAAAAGGAGATTCCAGAAATATAGTTTAATACTTGGTATAATAGCCATTTGCGTTGTAACAGGCGTTCAACCGGTCGGGCATCGATTTTATCACGTTTTTGACCACTTCATCTTCGACCTCCGACCAAAGCTCCTCTGCAGCTTCAATCAGCCGGGCCAAAGCTGCTGCAGACTTTGGATAAGCAGCAATTTCAGGATATCTATCGCATATCCTCTTCTTCAGGACTTTCCATAGATTTTCAATGGGGTTGAGATCAGGGCTGTATGGCGGCCAGTCAGCAAGAAAGACTCCTGTTCTTCTTGCCCAGGGCAGCAGCCAATTCTGAACTTTCCGGCATTTATATGTACGGGCGTTGTCGTGCTGAAAAGTCTCTCCTTCCTCGACCAGTCCGGGAAGATAAGACTGTAAACAGGATAGAATAATCCTTCCTGTTACGCCTCCCCTCTCAGACTCAGGATCGCCGGCAAGAGGGACGATCCTAGACGGCTTATCATAGTGAATTGCACCAAAGAACATCTGAGAATGTCTGGCAGGCCGTCTACAGGGCTGCACCTTATCTTGATGGAGTCTCTCACCCTGTGGTGTTGTCAAAAGAAGCTTCTGAAATAGAAGGGGCTAGACTTACAGCAGAGTAAAATGACCACTTGGTATAGTCACCGTCTGTACGGTCGATAGAGACCTCATCAGAAAACCACCAGCTATACCAAAAAGACTCATCTTCATGACGATATTTTTCACAGAAAGCTTTTCTCAATTGAGCACTTTCTTCGCTGAGAAACGGGCGTCGAAGTGCAAGCTTGTGTTGTATCTTCTGATTGATAAGCCAGCGACGAATTGTGCTTCTTTTGCAGTTCAAACAGGTGCAATCAATTATTTCTTGGTATGAGATAAAAGCGTTTCTTCCAATGAGTATTTTGATATGATTTTTATCTATATCTGATAGTCGTGATGGCCTTCCAGAGCGAGGTAAATCTTTTGCTGATTGTTGGTGACGGTACCGTCGAATGACTCCATAGATCGCGTGCCGACTTAGCCCCTCACTGTCTGCGATATCCTGCACGCGAACACCTGATTCGTACATCGTCACAAACCTCGTTCTTTTGCAAGGAGAATGATGTGTTTTTTGCCGTATTCGAGGCATCTTTTCCTATAGAAATAACGCGATGAAGTTGTGGTGTTGATGTTGATGTTTAATTGAAAGCGGGGTCCGGACCTCGGATGTGTCGGAACTTTTGCACGGGACTGTATCAAAGACTCGTCGGAGCAGAGGCTCTCCGCGCATATATCAGTTCATCAATCCACCCAGTATCTCTATAAAAAAAGCCAAGATACATACCAAGAACTCGCCGAGAAACACATCAATGCCTGAAGAATCTCTAAGTGCCCAAAGATATCGTTCTATGGCATATCCAATAATGTCTGCAAGTACTACCCAATTCGTTGAATGCTGTTGAAAACGCAGATTCTCGCTCCAACCACGCGACTCGATTATAAGAAGGTCTCAACGACAAAGCTACATGCCAGGATGGTAGCGATATGGATGCCACAAGAGGGAAACTTGACAAGAACCCGGTGCAACCGAGAAGGGATGATAGAGAAAGTGATGCAGTAGACTGGATATTAAAGTTGTAGAATGGAGCCCTGGTTTGTGAGAGTCCATGAGCTTACATGACTGACGCAAAAGCACCATAAGATCAAGGGCCTGGCTAGATGGATTTCAGAGCTGCTTGCGTTCGAGCGAAGGATAATGAAGAATCAGGTCCATAGTATGACGCAACTGAAGAAGATGGTAGGAACTAAAAGAAGCATGTGGGTGAGGATAAAGCTGCCCCAGGTAAGCAGAACAGCGATGTCCCGAAGGCACTCATTGATGCGTCGAGCTTCTGGATCAGGCTCAGACTGGCGCCATGCAACTAAGAAGAATTAGTAATATTCACTGAAAATATTAGAGCATCTTACAGAGAAAAGCAAGTGACGATATAACTCTAAGTAAATAAGATGGATTGCGGTAGAATATGACCCGAGTTTGGCTATAGGATATGTGCAGATTACGTTCTTGGAAAGGTATTGTAAAATATCGGTCGCGAAAGAATGAGCCTTGTTCCTGTATCGATCTGCATAAGTGGATCGACGGGCATAAGAAAGGAGACTGCTAAGATACTGAGAGACATCTTCGTGAAGCTTGTTACAAGTTTCCGAATTTGGACAGGTGATAGCCGCATCCTGATGAAACCATGGGATCTGTAGAACGATTCAAAACACTACTAAAAGAGAACTAGTTACCGTTCTGATCCAGTAACCTATTGCATGTCATTCACGCTTGGACATATGATTAAGTCGTTAGGTGGCATCAAGCCACCAGCAGAACAAAGAGCACTCAAAACAGCTAGGCTGCCGGACTCAGACACCTAGCTTGACCCTCTTTTGACCACACTTTTCTACATCTTGAAAATGAAATGGTCACCATTCGGACCAGGTGGCGAGGCTTGGTGAAGAAGTATCACAGCGATGTGCCCCGCAAACTACGAACAACAGATACTGCTCAAAAATAATGAGATCTGGAACCCAGGCATGTCTCGCTACTAGGAGCCGGAACATCGCATGTTATGCAATTTTCTATTTCACCCGCCTCACACCCTCAATCTCACCACTGCGGCGGGGCTCGTCCTCCGCCGCCTCCGATTAATCGCCTCAACACCAATGAACCTGGATTTCTACGGCGTGTGGGCAAACGTCTGTACAACGGAACTGGAAGAGTTGTCAACTTTATGGAAGAAAAGGTCGTCGACGCTCTGCGTCTTAGGATTGAAGCCAAAAAAGGCACGCTATACCCCGTCTCTGCCTCGATTGAACGAACTTGGAATGCCTGTGGACCTCCACGAGCACGATGGTTCACAGCTACCTTTCGGACCTCCGTCAAGCCCCGCCAGAACTCACTCTCAGTCTGTTTCACCACATGAAGTGGATAAATGACCGTCACAGCGCCCTCCTCTTAGGTGAAAGCAGCGCTGAACTCCAGTCCGGAGGTTTGAATGGGAATGGTTGTTTGAGGATGCTTTGGAAATGTAATATGGAACCACAGCAGCGAATCATATAACATGGTCAATCCAGTTTAGACTTAACCTAGACTAGTCTAGACTGTTGATTCTTATGCAAGAGCTTTAATGTGCTCCTCAACGGCACGCGCTGTGATAAATATCTAATAGTTTAGTTCTTATTAAGGTATTTCCTCGACGAGGCGCTAATCTAGCCCATATTTATGTATATATTCTTGCACTGTCGAGTGGAGAATACACTGTCTTGCAATTTCATCTTATCATTGTAGAGGCCTTCCTATTTGGTACTAGCAGGTGTAGCAAAAATTAGTTCATACCAGGTCTGTGTAGTATAAACTGCATTTCTCAGTAGTCAAAGTTGACTGCGCTAGTTCTCCGTGCACGCTGTATCCACTACATGGGAATGTAGTGTGCGGATTGGTCAGAACTATTCGGTTTGGAACTACAGTCAGAGTGGTGTTAGAATTGCACATCTGACTCGAGGTCATCAACACCATGAGACTGGCATTTTACCATCACCAAGGCTTCCAAGATGCTTCAGAAACGAACTGTTCACTACGAACTTCACGCAAAATGTCACGCTCCAGTATCTGACAAACCAATAAAGTACAGTGCCCCCCAAGCAAGCCCAACTGCAGCTATCCGTGAACACAGTCCAGAACACAGGCCACACTTTTAAGAAACATTTTTTACTTCACGTACACACAACTCGCCTATGGTGTCTCATTTCAGCTCAAGCCTTAACCTGTAACCTGAGACGTCTTCGCACACTACTTCAAGTCTGTCAGATGTCACCAGTCGTCCGATATGCCCAACAGGAAGCCAAGATCACAAGCCCCTTCCCAGCTACCAGGAGGGAGAGCTCACGCCCAGCAGAGCGCGATACAGCAAAAGACCGGGGTCACGATCGCTGAGCTACAGGGCATGTTTCTCAACGCCAAGGTCAAGTTCTTCCAGAATCTTAGAAAATTGGTAGCCCCCCATTATGAAACACATGGGTGGGGTCCAATTCATGAGGCAATGCGAGACGAAGCGGCTCTACGAAGGCAGGGAGGGTATAGATCGAACTCGCAAACAGCTACGTGGATGCCCATGGACGTGGACAACGCCTGGAAGAGATTAGATGGTGGTGGCGGTCCAGCACCACCTTCACTCATTTCCCCACCGCCCAGAACGTCGGGGTATTGCCCTGGAGTACACGTTGTGCTTTGCGGTATCGGTGACCCTGAGTCCCAGACCATCTATGGTGAGGGTTGCATTCGATCGATCGACGTCACACCAACCGATCACTTCTAGCGTCTCCTGCTCAGCACACTGGATGCTGAGTTCTACAAAAATCTAGAGGAGGATGCCGGAGTTGGACTCTGCTACAATACGGGTACCAAAAACCACGAGGACGCAAAGGCGAACGACCAGGAGCCCCTTATAGGGCCAGACGATGTGGGAATCAAGGTTCACGGGATCGTTCTCACTCTACTGTAGGCAAAGTATACTGGCTACATGACGGTTAAGTTCAAGAGCTGGCAGTGGCTGAAGCACAAGGTTGCGTGCGGCGCGATGGGCGATTATCTCGGCAATCTCAACAAGGACACGACCCTCTTTACCCACATGCGACGCCCTCACCGTACAGAAGACAGCGTCGATCACGGATTTGACTTCGCATGTCTGAATGACCAGATCAAGAGAGCAAATTATCTGTTTTCAGGAGACATATCTCAATACCCAAGACCTAAAGAGGATGATGCAGATATGTATGAACTGCCTGGCGCAAAGATCCTGCATGATATTACGAAGGACGAGATAACACCTCCCGAGTTCCGCTTCCGCCCTAAAGTTTGCTACTCTCAATCTTCGGATTATACTATGCAAGATTATCAGAGCGTTTCATCGTGCGGGGCTCGTCAAGCACAGGACCCTGTGACATATTGACTGGTTCGTCCGACAACCCGACACTCACCAGTCTGCTGAGATGTTGCACAAGCAATAGTGATGGCATGGGTTACGGTGGAAAGATGTATTTCCACCAGGAACTCAAGCAATCTTTGACAAAGTGGAGAGACATCAGTGTCTTCATGGTCGGTGATACCATAATCCAGATCGCCATGTCCAAGGGTGACTGGATTGACCCCGACGCCCACCATTCCGGCTTCACTGCCGATCGCTGCTTCACCAATTGGCGGAGATTCAACCCTGCCCCCCAGAACGCCACGACAGAAGAAGCGAAGAAGAAAGAAGCCGAGCTTGGTAGATTTGTAACCTTTCAGTGACAGGAGCTGGTCAATCGCAAGCCGCAAGAGTTCGAGTCGCTTGATGTTGCAGTGTGGCTGGACATTGGCATCTGGGAGATCACTAAGCGTGGATTGTTCACTAATGCAGAACTGCATCCATTCTAATCAGGCGTAGCTTGAAGGGCCTATGGGGTAGAGTTGTTATATATCTCAAGTAGTATAAATTGTGGTGTAGTAGTTTAAACCACATCTTCGCCTTAGGTCATAAATAATAAGTCTATATCCTGCTTTACTTAACAAATTCAGCGCTCTTAATCAATAAGGCTATGCCCTGTCTATGGCAAAATGGAACTACTATATGAAATAGTAGCTACTTTCTATAGAGTATATAATGCCAAGGGGTGGTATAAACTAGACTTGGTAGTATAAACTACGTGTCTCAAGGTATTGTGCCCAACTAAGCTTGCCTAGTTGGCCCCACCCCCCGGGCTCGAGCCAACGGGTATTAATTAAACTGAGCCGATCCTTGATATGCCCGCTATTTGCCCGCTATTTAAAGTTTTTTATCGGCAGCATCTTGGCGGTCAGCAGCCACTCATTCAGCTCCATTGAGTGGATCACATCTAAGCACGGCTTCCCAGCCCTGACAGGGGCGGTGAAACAGCATGTCAGCGCCATGCCTCAGGTTTTCCTGCATCCTTATGAGACCATTAGTTTGGCGGCGCGGCGGTTATTCAGGGGATGTGACCAACTTGAACGAACAACGCTCTGATATCTTGACCTGCTGCTAGTATGAGTCTTGGCTGGTTAGATGTAATTTAACTTTTTCAAGACCCGCATTTGAATAGGGTCTAGGTATCTGGTCCATATGCTACGGATCAACCCAAACGTTTGAGACCAGATGAGTCCCTAACATACCGTCCTTCGTCACGTTCCCTGATATGGCGGAAAACTAGCTATTCAACTGTTATGGAATACACAGTAGAGGGGCACATAACAGAGGGTTTGAAGAGCCTTGGTTTCTAGAATGATAAGAGGAGATGCCGGTCGCCTTATAGAAAAGAAGAGAAGATTGTCTGAGTAGTAGGTCCGCGAGCTAATCATGTTGATCCCACCTTTTGACAATTGTCAACGTTTGAATGCAAGTTGTCAAAGAGAACTCACCTTATCTAGGTCATAGTAACATCATTTTCGGGTCAACGCTAATAAGAAAATAATCAATAACTATCTAATTACATCTAAATCTTCTCAAAACATATACTATCTACAAAGGAACGTAGTATAACCAGAAACTTAATATGTTAATAGAGAAACTTATTATGAAACCTAACTCCGTGTACGAAACCATCGGCGATATGACATGTTCTGCCCAGGACCTTTTATCGAGCCGACTTCCGACCATTCCTATTCACCCAAAGGAGAAAGCTTTGAAATATGCTTGCAAAGATTACATTGAGCCCTTCTTGGCTTGCAGGTCCCGTTCTGACAGTACCACTTGCCATTGACAAGTTGACGATTGGTTGCTTGGAAGGGATATGCAATTTTGATAACTGCCTGGTCTATGACGGATAGACGATTGGTCAAAGGGATATCAACTCCGTCCACATTCCATTCACACTCTGAAAGGGTCTTGTAGATCATGATGGATTGCCGGTCGAATTTTGAAACAAGGCGAGGCCGGTAATCAATTCGCTTTTCAAAGTTCGCCTCGAAGTCTTCCTCTGTTTTACCAGTATCTATTATCCATTTTGCCTTGTCGAACTTGAGGTTGGATGCCGGGGAGGCGTGCTCGTGACGGAATCCAAGGGCGTGCCCAAGCTCATGGAATGCCATACGACGGATCTGATCTGCCGCATGCCATGGCTCTACTGCAAGATTCATAGTTCTTCCTGGGACCCTTAGCGCCTGTGTTCCAATGACAGACCAACTAATACCAGGCTGAAAAGTGATTTGGAGGTCAGCTCTTCCCATGGCGTGGTTATTTGTTGTGGTTGCCAGAAATTGAAAACTGATGTTTGCGTCTTGGACCCACTGCTCAGCACATTGGGCGACTATCTGAATCACCCTGTCGGCGTGACAATGGATTGGCCGTTCAAGGAATACCACCGTGATGGCATGCCCAAGGGGCCAACGGTCCTCCTTATCGATCCATAACGCTTGAGCCTCACGGGGAATGTCGCCGTGATGGATAGACTTGACAGATGGCGAGGTGATTCTGGAGCTTGATCCTTCAAGCCAGTTGAACCGGATATGAGATGTGTGCAGGCTGGGAGGAAGATTGTCACTGTCGGCTTGAAAGGATAATGTGGCTTTAGGGGCCGCCAAGCTCAGTTGTGATAGTAACATGATCATGGGGGAACTAGAACAATGAGGAAGGTGCATGAAGAGTGGATGATAGATAAGAAAGACACGAGTTTAAGAGGGAGAGGAGGGCTATATATAAATAATTGCGTGTGACAGCTTCTTCATTTCAGTTATTGTCAGATCGTTCTCGACACCTAGTACTAGGGTCAGTCGGTGTTTGTTGTCTGATGACGGAGTAGGGAGACAGGGGATGGTGGGTAACGCTAGTAGATGCAGTAGCGCATGGCCCCCAGGGAAGCTCATTGGAAGCGTGAGAAGATGGACAAGTCCCCAGGGTATCAAGATGACACTCCGGAGCACTGAACCGACAGTCCGTCCCTCCCAACTGCCCCCACTATCCACTGAGCTAGCCCTAATTTGATTTGCGGTCGCTCATCTATTTTGGTTAGCTCTGCGACTTTTTCAAAAGGGAGCAATGTTATTGGCTATTCACCTTTGTCGTTTGGCTCGTAGTGAGACACGGGATACGACATTTGACAAGGGTAGGGATGTCGGAAAACTTTAAGTGGAGACAAACACGGTGCCAAGATGGTCACCTCCACCATATCACTGACCTCAGAGGAGGCAGTTAGATCAGATAATTATATTTGTTATAAGTGAGCACGATAATAAAAGCAAAATAATCAATATACTGGTATTGCATAGATGCGGTTTTATGTATATAATTGCTGACAGGGCTATTATTATAGACTTAGGTAAAGCTGCTTGCTTGCCTACGCTTTGTTCTTCGTTTAGGACTCCTCGCTCCAATCTTCTTGGGTCTCTCCTTCTTCTTTATGAGGCTATATTCGATCTTTATAAAGCAAAAATTTCATCACTAACTATCTCTGCTGTTGAAAGAAGAAGTGCGTGCTGGCTGCTAAGCAGATCTCACAGTCCTTGTATATATGCGAAATAAGGTTGCTGTGGCTATACTATATAACATCTTAATTATCAGCTATATAGAGATGGACGAGGTTGGCTTTACTTTAGCAATATTAGAAAAATAAAATAACTACACTTTGGAGGGCAATAGCTGGCTTTATTTTTAGCAACCTTTTAACAATGCTGCTAGAGCCTCCTTACCTAGAAGGTAATATAATGTCTTTTCTATGGCTCTAATTTGTTAAAGCTCTATGTGTGTATATATCACAGAGTTATATATAGGTATTTCTTACTATTTGCCTTCAGCAGGCATAATAGATTTCCTGTCCTATACATTAACAGAGAACACAAAATTCTATATAATAAGGGTTATTATTAATACCCTTACAGCTACTTATAAAAAGGCTTTTTATATAAGTCTTTAAGGGCCAACAGATAAAGAGAATAAACTAACTCTGTAATAGCCAACTAGCCTTTTACTATTCTAAGTGCTATTCTATTTATTATACAGATGCAAAGCCATAAAGTGCTCTTCTTACTGTGTTTCTGAGAGGCTTGCCGTTCCTAGAGGGCGAAGGCGCGAGTATCGAGCTGTGAAATCACAGTTCGGAGGGATCTCTTGCACCGATTAACAATCAAGACGTAGGAGGCTGGACGAACTGTGCAGACGTTTCGCAAGACAAAAATAACAGGGCTATCGAAGTAGAAGGCCGTGTTTCTTCTTTAGGAGAGTTGTCAACTATCCTTATCTATTCACTCTAGTCATACTATCGTCTGGCTAAAGCTAAGACCAGTCAATTATTACCACCAAAGCCATCACGATATGTAGACATTGAATCAAGCATGTACTATCAACGGAGCGGGGGCCTAGCTAGCACGACGGCTATCTTGACATATTGTTTGTGGTCTGCATCCCCCTGGCATCTCTACTATACAGAGCGGCACCATCTATGACGAAAAGGAAGCCACTCGGTTCCGACTTGGCAGCAAGCAAATATGTTATTCTATCCAGCATTTATACAATGCCTTGATCTCTGGAGCGCAAATAGGACCTTTACTTTAGAATTCCTTCACTTCTCTATATGACTGGAGTAGCCGTAGGTCAGGCAGCATGACAAGGAGCACAGTTTTTTAACATAATATAAAGCTTGTCCCAAAGCCTCCATAGTAACCAAGTAAACCTTGGTAAGTTTCCTTTCGTAAGGTAAGGTCCTACATGCAAGTATAAAGATACGTTTCAAAGGCAACACCTTACGACTGTACATTTGACAATCCATTTGGCAGTACGTAGCGATGCCAAGCCCTGCAAGTCCCACATTTTCACCGTCGGAACGGCCTATCCGGACTGTCTAGACGTCCAATAGCACATAGACGCTAAGGTATAGAAATGGGGCCAATCTCCCTGAGGAATTTAATTTGTCCTCGGTTGATGCAAGCCGCAGCCGGTGCATTTTTAGCGCGAAAACGCAAGCCACTTAAACATGGGCTAAAGGCTGAGTCCAAGTCATGTAGAAAGTAGCTCAGTAGCATGGGTAAAAAAAAGGCTCGAAATCTATAGTTCTATCTCAACTAATGACTGTAACCAGCTTCACAAAACAGGTCTCACTTTTACCTCTATAAATTGTATTCTGTAGTTGATATTCTTACGAACTTTATAATTCTTTATCTGCTCATCTGTTGCCGCTAGCACATTCATAAAGGCCTCTGCAGAGCAAGAGAGAGAACCATGGAAGAACTGTCCTTTGCACAGTTCTTGAAAGATATAAATACGAGAGACCTCCTGAAATCGAAGGGAAAAGCAGGAAGAGAAGAACCCAAGCAGTTGGTCAGTTGTTATTAACTTCAACGGTATACATTGTTTCTTATACATCAGAACATCTTACTCAGATATGGGTTTTCATACTAAATAGAGTGCTCACTTAGGTAAACATGGAAAAGCTTAGTAGCATTATCAGGTTGAATGTGTGCTACATGATAGAGCAGTCAGCCAGGAGGACGAGGAGGAAAATAGAGAAGTAAGAGATAATAGCTAACAAAGACAAATAATAAAGGTGGCAATGAAGTATACTATTCGACAATTAAGAAATATAGCCATCCATGCACTGGGACGCCAAAACTATAAAATGCAGCAGTCGGCATTAAGAAGGCAAGGGCAGGGCTCGTGTAGGGGGTTCTCAGTCAAGGGAATCAACTTGCAGGTAGCATATAGTTAAAGTCCAAGCGACACAACAATGGGAGGAGGGTAGGAGAGCTTATTTCAGGTATGCGGCCAGCTGCCATGCCGACTATACCTAGGAAACACTATATCTAATGTCCCAGGTATTACAAGATAACCAACTGAAATAGATGGTGGCGGGAGTGTATGTAATGGTTCCTTATGTTACCAGTGCTAGCCTTTCTTCTGCGGCTTAGATTCGAACATACTTTAAAAGCTGCTGTGTTGGCGCAAGCAAGGCGTTTAAAGAGATATTTTGTTAATTGTTCGGGCTCGAGTAAAGTGCCGAGGGCAGTTCTAAACCGGGCGCGGTCATGAGAGCCCCAGTAGATTTTAACAAGTCGGATACACTAAAAATTCATAATAGCAAACGGGTTGGTTCACCATGGCTCCGGCCAACAGTGGCCGTCGCCGTTGCAGGAATGAGGTTGATAATCTTCGTTAGCTACGGAAGGCTTTAACGCCAAAGGTGCAGTTTAGTAACCCCTGTGTGAGGCTCGACAAGCCCTCTCGCGGCATCTCCCAGAGTCTTATTATTAACTAAAGGTTGTAACCATCCCGTTTCTTGTGTATGAGTTTACCGATTCAGTTGCTATCAAGTGCACAATTGCATTATTTGTTGGTCAGGGCACCGCGTGGTTAACGTCTGAAATGTCCCCAGATGATCCCAGACGACCTGCCTACACGTCAATATGGATCTTAACTACAAAATGGAAAAGTCGGCTATACTTCCGTAAGCTTTATACCATCATTCTGGAAGTCTCACTAATAACAAGTGCAGTAAGTTATACCATGTATTTACTCCCACGCCGTTGAAATGCTGATAGATTTGGGTTACGGCCCATCACAAGTCGTTCAGTCTTCAAGACCGTTGTATCTTCTCTCTATGGAATGACTAACTACCGTAATATCCGCACTTTCGTTCTTTTAGTTACTGCAGAGCACTATCTCGCAGTTCCTCAAGGTGCGGTTCTTGACAAACAGAATCTACGACCGTGAGGTTATCCAACAATCCAAAGGCCACATTAGGCCCTTGGGTGCTTTTTTAGCTTGACCCCATGAGGGTCTCCATAGCCTCCTCCAACTTCACGGCTTGGACCAAGATTAAAAGGTGGGTCGGATAAGCACTAAAGTTTGCGCTAGCCTCAATTAGAATTTCCTTCCCTCCCACGAGCAAAAGATTAGGGGAATCAAATATGAACTGTGGTTTTTACTGGCTCACGGAGTATTTCGACTGAAGCCCTAGTTAACAGATACCAGGATACGAACGAATTCCGTCAATGCCCTGCGATACCAGCCCTAAACAAGACTGAACCTCCTATGGACATGAGGCTATATATAGAAGATACCCCACAATTCAAATTCTCAATAGGGCCCACTATTAGCCCACCTGTTCAAACCGGATGCACTTCCGTTGTGGGTACTGACAAGGAGTCTTTGGCTGTGGAGCTGTCAGTTGGACATGCACGCTTCCACCAGATATGGCCGTCCCAAAAGCTAGCTGGATGAACAACCCTAAATACAGTCGACAAGAGACAAGGACAATAACAAATGTATTTGGGCCATCTAGGAAGTGAAATGCCACCATTGCCTGCTTTCCATTGTAAAAGACCGGGACCATATGTTCGACACTTACGAGTCTATTCGCCCGACTTAATGGTCATTCAATTCCGGTTCGGCAAGGCCATGGCGACTATGAGTCTATTCACACTGGAACACTGAACAACACGGTAGAAGCTGCCGTCTTTTCTTCGCGTAGCAGTCTCCAATCTGAAAGCCGACATGGCATGCAAGGTGATCATCTATCGCGTCGTCTTAACGATATCACGGTCAAAAGTCTGTTCGTGAAAAATAAAGAATTCCCACCAAGATATGTATAATGACAGACCTTTTACGTTCAGCAATCATG